GACCAGAGATTGACCAGCAGCAAGGAAAGAAATATTAATGGTGAAATATATATATTTAACATAACAGCAAATGCCCAAACATTATGGGCAAACTTCCACTGAAATAATAAGATGATGGCAGTAATTATTTTAATGAGAATTTCCCTAGTCAGAATAACAAACAGAGATACCGCCTAATGTTACACTGGAAGGAACTACCTAAGTACACATACTGTTGCAGTGACTAATGTGTGATCAGAGAATCCTTCTGCTTTGCAATTTGGGCATTTATGTCACCGCGCGTTATTGATAGCACATATTATTTTTACTACATGGTGTCTTTATTGTGTAAAAACTGCATGAAAAATTATTTTCACCCCCTTGGTTTTGATCGGCATTTCCATAGAAGGATGGGAGACAGAGAAGGCTGTGTATTTGGAATTCCACCATCAGTAAGGATGTTTGCTGATGACTGCCGATAACAGTTCTGCGAGCACTGTACACTGGCCTTTTAAGAAGGAAGGAAATTACGTACAGCAAACTTGCGATAAAATAAGGACAAGGTTCTGATGAAGATACACGGAAAATGAACGACTCAGAATGAAAGCTTCAGTCTCCACATTCCTGTGTTCAAGTATTGCCAACGGGAGCGTATATGAAATCTCTCACTGAACTGAAACCCTGATAAAACGTCACATTAACTGCACCTTGGTCCTGAGGTGGAGATAAGATTAGATTTTTCTGGGTGTAATTTCAATTACGAAGCTTACTTTGGTGGGATGCTTTTCAAGAGAGCAAGCAGAGGAACAGAAGCCTGGCATCCAGAACCAAACGAGCTGGAGTGTCTGGCCCAGGTTCAGTTTCCACAAAGAAGGTCAAAAAGGGCTGAAAGAAAAGGTGTATCCAAGGTATCCTTGGAACTCAGAGCCAATAAAAATGAAACTATTCTCTTCTGAGACCTAATTAACTTTTATATCCAAAGCTACATTGCACATTTGTTCATTGCTTATGACTAGGACTAAAAAAATAGACGTGCCATGGAACTAGGCTTTTAAATGATCTATTGGATGGCTTTGCTATGCCTGTAAGGAATTTTCTGTTCTTTAGAGGCATTCATTCAATGAATAAGTAAGCCTATGCTAATTTTTTCTCAAAATGTTAAGTATTTTCCTGTATCTATTTTCAAGGAATCAGAGACTTGGACCCTGAAACTTCCAAAATATTCCCTTCAAATCCTAAAACAAAAACAAGACAAAAAATGTTCCAGAAACACATTTCATGCTAGAGGCTTTGCAAGGATTAGTCTCCTATTAGAGTCACTGTTCCTAGATGATCCTTTTTCATGTTTTAAAGGAGAATATATATTTTTCTGTTACCTTTCCTGACTGTAAAGCAATCACAGGAACCTGCAGGAGGCACCATAAATATGCAAATTTCTGAGAGATAACTGTTTTCAGTGGTTATGCCTCCAAGTAGCCCGGGAAACAGGAGAGCCTGAGCTTCCTCCTTCCAAGTAATTCGTATGTTGGTAGTGCCCCCTGCTGCAATCACAGGTTGTCCAAGAAAGGGAGAATAAAATTGGGAAGCATTTAGATCTGGTTAATATGTGAAATAAATGCCCGCTGCCCCTGCTCCAGGAACAGCCATTCCTGGGTTCAGAGTTCCTCCTGTCAGTTACAGATTCACTGTAAATAAATCCCTCAGCCTAAAATTTGGAAGATTTGCTTTTATCCCTAAACCTTTAAACATGCAGTTTACATAGATACAGATTTTATTTCTAAAAAACAAAAACAAACAACACCAAAAAACACTACATCACACCAAGATTCAAAACAGCGTTTTTAAAGAGTGAAAAATTTTAAGGATTTTCTAGGGTTATCTAAGGATAATAAATTCTGAATTAGAGGAATAGCATGCTATACAAGGACATTAAGACTGGGAGGGAAAAGTTAAAGTGTTAACAGCGTGTAGAGCTATTACTCAATTTTAAATGGCCTTATTTATTAAAGGAAAATTTTGTGGGCCATTAGCTCATCGTGTGGACTGGACAGTTTGATATTCAAAAATAAAATGAAATAAAATAAATAAATGAAACAACCAAGTTAGGAACATTGGAAAGCTGATTGCCGTAGCTCTATAGTCACTCTATTACAGATTTTCATATTAAGATTTGGAGAAAAGGGTGGTAGGGGAGAATAACACACGATACAATTCAGACCTGTGCCGGTCTATTGGATACATCATATGCATTTTTAAATTGCCTGAATATATATTCACATGACAGAATCTAATGGGTTTAGAAGGAGCCCTTGCTCTTGATCAAATCATAAAAACTGTTATAAACTTGTCCATCACATCAGATCCCATACACTTCTATTAAGATTGTTTTTTGTCTTGCTTAAATACTAGAGTTGGAACAGATAAAGGGATTTACATCTTTAAAAAAAAACACAACTCAGGTATTAGAAACTCTAGCTAGAGCCATCAAGGTAAGTAAGCCTTGATGACATAGATACTCAACTTTTTCTGTTAAATCCACCTCAGTCTTCCAATGCCCAAGCCCCCAAGTGTTGCAATTTTCTAACATCAGTTTCAGAAATCTAAGCTCTCCCCTAGTGTAAACCCCTCACAGTGGCTATGTACTGGAGTTTGAATTTCAACTTAGCTCTGTACCTCATTTCCATATTCAGATCTTCACAGCTAGAGCAAAGTAGAGGACTGAGGAAATTACCTCTATAATTTCAGCAATGAGCCTGCCTTTATCTGCATCATCCAGGAATCTTGTACCCTGTCTTTTAGAGCCCTGACCTGGGTGCCTGTGAGGAGAGAGAGGGAGAGGAACGGGTGGATATTAGCTACCAGGCAGAACTAATTAGAAATAGATCTTGATATTAAAGGTATCCATCTTTTCCTTACTGGAAACTTAAACAAGCTCCCATTACTCGATGGGATGAGGAGCATTGTTAAGCCCCTGCTCTGGGTTTTATTGCCACCGAAGGTGAACTGTTGGGAAAAGAAAACCAGTGCACAAAGCAGCAGTCGGGACTCGAAGCTCCTCTCTACCAGAGCCCCTGCCATATATGTTCTGTCACTCACCTTCTAGACACTCAGTGCAACCATTCCATCTATTGAATCAAGAGACTGTTTGATCTTATCTGCATCTGTGAGCTGACTGTCAACCTGCTTAGGCTGCATATTAAATCATCTATAGTAGCTGTATCAAGCTGGGATGATCTGTTAATTCTAAATTTATTAACCCTTGGAGTGCAGTCATCATGTTTAATCTAGTGTGGCCCGCATTTATTTTACAAGACTAAATCCTTCTTGAAGATATGGCTGTGCTGTAGGTTAAAAACAGCTAATGTGGGTTTCATTATGATAACTGGGGGGGGGGGGGGAGAGACTGTCTGAAAAATACTAGTGTGGCTACCCCAACAGGCGATGTCTGTCCTATCCCAGGCACTCTCCTAGGCTGGGATTTGCCTGTGAGACATTTTCTCCAGAAATACTTCTATCTCCAAAAAGAATGTAAGTGGAAAAAGAGGAAGGTGAAGAAGAGGGAGAGGAGGAAGACCTCTGACAGATTTCCATTTGCAGTGGTCCAACGCCAGAAATACTTTCCATAGCAGAGTCAACCTCGAAAGTAATGCCTGAGGAATAAATTTCCAAAGGCACACACCTGGTGGAAGATGCTAACCAAGTTCCTTAAGTAGTGAGTCGAACTTCTTGATCAATAAGGGTCACCTATGTCTAGATTGAATGATTTCTTCTACACACATTCCCCCCTCCCCACCAAAGAAGAATTCCAAGGTTGTCCTGCTTTAAAAAAAAAAAAAAAGGCGGGGATGATGTTCATTTAATATGTTAATCTGGTCTTCAGACAAAAATAAAATAAAATAAAAGATACCCATCTCTGCTACTTGCTTATTACTGATGTTATCAACATATTCATCGCTTTTCTTTCAGACACAAACTGCTAGGCATGCTCCCTTTTTGGGTAACCACGTGCCTGATATCTCTCTAATGTAGCCTAATAACAATTTTAGCATTCAGATGAAGCGATTTCATTCTGTGACTGCCTTTTCTATTAGATTTGATTTTGAGAAGCCCCAGTGGGTGCCTTCGAGGCAGAGATCTATCTGTGAGGCTGCTACCGACTCAATAGCAGCCTGGGCTAACCTTGACCTTTCCCGGGACCCCGCTCCATCTGGTGCCAGCCTGCTTTCCACCCCCACCCCCCTCCTTTCTTGCTTCATAGTCAACATTGATCAAGGCAGAACGGAGCACCTCGTCTCCTGGAAGGGCTGGGTAGGCTCAGGAGGACAGCACATTTCAGTATATGGAAATGATCAAGCTTCTTATGCAATCATAAATCTACATAGGAGGCTTGTGATTTGATATTTCATTCACCTCCAAAGATTTTTTTTTCCTCCCTCCCAACAGGGATTTATAAGCTCTGTAAGAACTCCCGGACAACGGCTTTCCCCAACACCTGGAAATTATCAAGCTTGCTGCTTGCTGAATGATGCTAACAGCTCTAATGCTGCAAATTCATTTTTTAACAACTCGCTGGCTTTTATCTCGGATTTGTGTGTGCGTGTGTGTGCGCACGCACACACACCTTTCTTTAAGAAAAATCTACCCAAGCAATGGGTAGTATCAAAGACACCAAAATCAAATCTGACTTAAATATCCTGCATCTCCACGCCCATGCCCATTATGTGTTTGTAGAGTGATTTCTCTATTTCTGTATATTCTGTCCCCTTTCTGAATGGTTTAAAGGGGGAGAAATAAAGAAGAAAAGAAGAGTGCAGGGGGGGGGGGGGGAGAAAAAGAGAGAGAAGAGAGAGAAAATTAGAAAGATTCCAGGGGGAGGTAAGTGGATGTAACACTTTAATGGACCATGAAACCTGCCCCTGCCCTCCCCAGGCCACATTCCTCCTTCCCACATCACCCACTACAGTACACAGACGCCTGCTCTGCCTCACTCTCTTTCTTTCCTCCTCTGCTGTCTGTTTCAGGCGCTGGTGGTGAAGAGGCTGACTGAAGGGGAGTCACGTGGGCAGCCCGTGGGCAGCGGCGGCAGCAGCTCAGAAGAAATTGACTGACTGGCCGCTTGGGCGCATTTCAATATATGGAAATGACCAGAGGCTTCTGCAATAAATCAGCACTCAACACTTTGTCATTTCTGTAGTTCTGCTTCATTTTCCTGTTTTCCTCTCCTCCTCACAGAAGCCTCATCGCTTGCATTTCACCCTGCTGCGTCTCTTCCCACCTCCAACACCCACCCTCTCCAAATTTTGCCCCGTCCATGCCAAACGCCTCTCTTTCTGTTCTCTGGTCTCTTCCCCACCCCCCACCCCCTCCCCGTAATTGGAGACATCCGGTCGACGGTTCTTTTCTTTCCCTTTAACATTTTTTTCCCCCCTAACAAAATCGCGCAATGTTTGCGGTCGTGCCTCAGATTTCCTTCGACCAGAGGCGCCCGGGATGCGCTCTCTTAATCCCCAGGACCGGTACCTCCAGCCCCTGGTGGAGAAGAGAAAAGAGAAAGACCACGGTCCTCGGTTCACCTCTCCCCATCCCAGCTCCCGCGCCGCCCCCCGGGAGTTCCCTCAGCAAACTTAAAAGAATGATCAGAAGCAACTTGTGCCACGAAACGCCGGGATAGCGCTGGGAGAAGAAAGGGGCGGGATGCGGTGGGAATCTAAGTGGGTTTGCAGGTTCCTGCTTGACTCTTGCAGACCCCCTCGTGCCCTCCACCTAACCCTGCCCCTTGCGCCTCGGGTCCTTTTTTTTGAACCAAAGCGGCGCGTCCCCGCAATCTGCAATGACTCCGGGTGTTTCTCTGGAGCTCAACGCTGCCTGAATTTCGTGGCGCGTGCAAAAGCGAAATTAACAAAACCCCATCACCGCGCTGTTGGTTTTGTGTTGTTTTCCTTTTTTTTTTTTTTAGTTCCTTGCAGAAGCAAACATTACCTAGCTTCCTCCACCCACCTCGTCCAGCTCCTGCTTGAGATTCCTAATCTTTCAACTTGCGTGTCTCTCTCTCTCTCGCCGACAGGGCAGCCTCTCCTTTTTCTTTCCCCGGGATCTGGGAACAATAGGCATGTGAAGGGTCAGTGGGCATCACCCTATAAAGCTCAGAACCTAATTAATTTTATTAAAGGAGGATCTGTTTATGCAATATGACAGCCTGGGGGGATTAACCATTTGAGGACGCAGACTCTGCTCAGACACCCGAGATTCCCTCCTCACATCCTGAGCTTGTACTTCCTGCCCCATTTGATCCTGGCCGGCGCCCGTGATCCGGGTCTGGTTTTTTGTTTGACCTTGTGAGGAGAATGTCTAATTCCCAGGGTTCTGCAACATTCGAGGGACACCCAGGAAACCCATGTATTCCCATTGCCAGATGACAGTTGAAGTGCCCACCTAGTCACAGTTTGTTGCAGTGACAGCTCAAAAGGTCTCACTATTAGGAAGGTGTGTGTGTGTGTGGGGGGGGGTGCTCTAAGGTGTCCTACAGTGGATATTTGGTGCTTGGAAATATTCTACTTGGAATCACCTCCTGTGAAATCCCATGTGCTTTCTCAAGAGCAAAGGAAAATGTAACCGTTTTTAAGTTACTATTTTTTATTTTTTCCTGCCACTTCGATAATTTGAAATACATTTTTAATAACCTCCTGGAAAAAAATTTAATAGTTCAGACATATTGTTCTCTGACTTAATATCTCTGTGTATTCCTTAATTGCCAAAACAAAGTTTATTACATGTACAAGGGCTAACTTTATATCTCCTAGGAATTCTAATGTCATCGGTTTTGTTGTGTGTGTGTGTTTTTTATATCATCACCTTGGATTTTGTTCAACAGGGATCTAGAAATGTATAGCATATGTATAGAAATAGATATGATAAAATATTCAAGAGCTCTCTGAAGGAAAATGTGCTTGAAAATAACCCCCTCTTTTATGGAATTTGTTTTGATTTAGATCTATAGATAGGAGAAAGAATGAAAGAAACTGTGAATTACACTGAATATAAGATGTTTATCACTTTAATATTACACTTCCTAGCTTCCATGTTACAGGGCTTTGGAATACTCTCCCAACTTTCAGATTGAAGCTCTGCCTTGCACCGTCTGAGGTCTGTCTGGAAAGACCTGCCAGCACATGCCAGCTAAAAATGAGTGTCAATTAATAATAATAAAAAAGCTCCCTTATCCCTACACTCATGCAATTTAACAGGTTTGCAGAAGAACATAGGATGACAACAGTTGTGAGAACATTCCAATATATGCAGTTCTAACAGCTTTCATTTGAGACGCCAAACCTTCCTAAAATAGAATGGCTTAACATTTCTTTTTTATATTAAAAGTCCAATCTACACTTCACATAAAATGTTTTTTTATCACAAAAATATTTGTCTCTAACAAAATGCACTTTTTGTTCTACCAAAAAAAGCAAACATCTTGAAACAGATTCTCCCAGCTTTTTACAGCTCCCCATTGCAATTTTCTGTACTATTTCAACTGCCCCCCCTCCCCTAAGAGATACTCTGAACACAGGGGTAAAAATAATTACAATTTAAATACTGAACCAGAATGCCCTGTTTCCCAGTATTGTTAACAAAATCTCTAATTCTCAAACTGCTCTCTGATGGAACTAGGCAAATTGGGGGACTTACACTGATATTTCTAAGTGCAGTTTGTTGTTTTAAAAACATATTGTACTGATTAATAAAAATGTGAAATAATTTGAGTTACAAATTTTGAACTACAAATCGCCATCTGCTCAAATGGGGAAAAACCAAAAATTGCCGAATATATTTTCTCACCTCTTTTTTTCATGATAACATAAACAACATTCCTGAATAATTAAAAAAAGAAACTGACTACACTTAATGCATTTTTATAGTTCAACAACTGCTTGGTGAGTCCACCTTCTCCAACGTGCAATTATTTTTTTTCTTAATTACTTGCATATGTTCTATCAGAAGAGTCAGGTTCTAGTGCTTTCCTGTGTTATTGTGCAAATCTGTTTAGCTCTGTGTACTACACCATACGCCCCCTGGATTGATAGGATAAAAGAGACTGTAGTGTGCAGTAACCCCAACTTGGTCATAGGTTGTCAACTATGTCAGAGACCTGTGAGAACACTCAGAGTAAATATCCTCTGGGGTGGGGAAATTTTTTTTCTAAATTCCACGAACCCATACTTGGAGGAGTAAGCACCACCCATCAAAGAGATGCATAGACACAAAGAAGTATGATAAACAACACAGCTTCTCATTTGTGGGAAAGAGCGTAGGTAGGTAGATCTGCCATCTGTGGCTCCTGAAAGCAGTTGTTGATGGCCTGGCAAACAGGATCCTATGGAACTTCCTATTCCACCAGCAGAAATCATGAAAAATCATCTAGGATGTACCAAGTTGGCTAAGCCAAGAATCACCGGTGCAAGGACTCTAACAGGAGACCCAATGCAGAGGTGAACGGACTGCTTTGTAAACTGGCTCAGACATTTCAGATGAGCACATTGATTTTTCATCATCCTAAGAATAAAGAATTCCAATTCTATTCATTTAATCACAGGCTAATAGGGTGCACATTTTTCTTTCCTTTTTGTTTTTTCTTTTTTTTTAAAGCCTGTTTGGGGTGCGAGGGGGGGTGCAAAAGTGCCCTGTTCTTTTGTAGAGAGATATTTGCATTATGATCAAAACCTCATATAATGTGTCTGCATGGATTAGGCTGTGCCAGGGATAGGAAAGAGTGGGCCCAATCACGCCAAACTCATGCCCACCACCATCCCAGTCCAGTCTCAGTGCAAGTAAAGTGAGGGTGTGGATCCCGGGGCCCTGGGAAGGGTGTGAGCGTTGCTTTCATCATTTTGGAGTGGGGTAGAAGGGAGTGAAAAACTGCCTGGAAAATGCTACCGGATGACCCTAAACATCAGCTGCTTTCACACCCTCTTTACTCAACGTGGGATTCTTTGAACATGGCAGCTATTGCTTTTGTTTTGCTTTTAATTCATAACCAATCTCTCCAACCCATGCAATATTGAATACTGTGTATAATGTGATGTAGGAAGGCCCCTTATTTAAAGCCAATGTAAGACCAGGTGCTTTTGAGTGTCCACCACACCCAGGGACCTGTACCAGGTGTGGAAGGGACGGAAGGTTTCTAAAAAGGTCTGTGTCCACAGTCCCGATGTACACACATCTGGCTACAGAACAAGTCAGACTGGGAATAGAAAAAAAAAAGAAGAGATCAAGGAGGCACCCCAAAGCAGATTTCTCAACTCCTGGGGAAGGTGAGGAGGGCTTTGCTAGGTGGGGAGATGTGGGAAGAGCGCTCCGAGTGGAAGAACTGGCCTGAACCAAGATCAGGCACACGAACGGGCTTGGGGAGTTTGAGGCGGCAGTTCGCCTGGTGTAGCTAAAGCATAGGGTGGAGTGGCAGGAAGATGTCTGGAAAGAGAGGTGGGGGCAAGTTTGGGAAGGGTATCGAATGCCATGCTTCACAGTCTTGACCAAATTCTGCAAGCAGGGAAAAACCATTGGAGGCTTTTGAGTGGGGTGTGGAGGGCTGACATGCTCTTTGCAAATAATGGAACCTGGAGGCAGCCTGGAGGATGACTGGAAGCAAGTCGTTGTCTGCGATCACACCTACTTTTCTATTCGCCCTTCTGCAGAAAAAGCTGTCCCTGTACAAATGATGCAACACGGACCTTACCAGGAGTGGAATGTTCATTGCTTTCTCCTTCATAATTGAAGATGATGCCAACGGTGGTTTCTATTTACATGCACAGGATGACTGACTTTCAGGATCTGCACATATAAAAACTATGTTCTTTGAATGATTCTATATTTGAAATTTTTATGTTAAAGAATCTATGTGTCTTTCCCTGTGGGAGTCCCAATACTTTCTTGCCTTCAACCCCTACCCCTACCCTGACCCCATTTCCCAACAGGTAAGACCCAAACTCATGAAGGAAACCCCTCTTTTTCTATCTCTAAGAACAGATACTTGAAGCCTTCTAACCATACAATCATATTTATTCAGCATCCACTAATGCACAACCCTTACTGAATCTAAAAAAAAAGAACCTAAACACAGATATGAAGGAAACAAGGATGATAATAATACATGAATAATACCAGGATAAAATTATAAATTGAAAAACAC